AAGCTCACGAAATAGCTTTCTAGATGGGTGGACACGTCATAGGAACTAGCAAAAGTGCAAAATGCCCCCCCCCCTCCTCCGGTCACTGAACTGCGCCGGCCGAGATTTCCAGAGATTTCAAGGGTTCCAGGGTGAGGTTATATCTGAGATTTCCCGGCTCACAGATCAGTGAACACACCGAGTTTTTTTTGTGATTTCCTGAAGTATTACTGTTCGGTGGGGCGAAGGTGGTGTAGTGATGAGTGGCGCGCTTACCACACACGTGGTCCTGGGTTCAAATCTCGGGGGTTGGCTCCCGCCCTGATCAACCAAGCTCTCGGGATGGCAAACTGGAATCGAACTCGTCTAGGAGGATAAGCACATTGATTTTTATTATACATCTGCTGACACCCGCAAGTCGTTGTATAGTCCATAGTCCATAGTACAATCAGCCGCCACGACTTTGGATGGAAAGAGAATTCGGTTCGTATCCCACCAAAGTATTGATCAAGGCGAAGGCTTTATCCTTTCACATTTTTTTATTACAGTTCGGTTATGAATACTAGTCCCTGGAAGTTGATCACGTCGAAACGTCAGGCCGCTGAACAAAGCGCTCTGTTGAAGACCGCGAAAGCTACAAGAATACTAATGAGTGAATTGATTAGTGAAGCCTCGTATTATCAACGAAGAAGGCTGAAGGAGTGCAGTAGTGGGTTGTAAAGGCGGTAAATCGAGGCGAATTTCGGTAGCTTGTTTGCAGGGTCAATGATGTCACTGACCGGGCTTGAATACGTAACCTTCTTAGGTACCGCTATCTGTTACAGCCTGTGACAGCGTTGATTCTTAGGCTCATCGGACAACAAAAGAAGCAGTCACCTACTACTGATATGGTTCGACTTTCTTCAGCTCAAGTCGCATGGCACTTGAATCCAGCTCCAAAGCAGAAACCACATTGAGCCAGCCAACAGCCGCGACTTCACCCGGTTCAAAATTGTTGCTTACGTGAGTGTTTTTAGAAGTCATCATTGGGGATCTAGGAGAGTTAATGGCTGCATGTGCCGCATTCGGTAGGTTCAGACACGATCCACACTGACCAAACGCTTTATCTTTTTTTATCTGTTGGAAGCAGATTCCGCGATAAGCCATCAAGGACTTCGTAAGTAAAGGTGTAGAAAAAATTTCCTCTTCGGGCGAGAGGCCAGACAAGAGCAGCTAAATAGCATGCATACGAGCAAGACCACAGGTAAGACAACTAGCCACACGTGCTTAGTCACTTACCAACGTGGCGCCTTAACTACCTTACCCTACAACTTCCTGACCCGAAGCTTAATACCAGTTGTGCAATCAATGTCCACACTACCTTTCCCCACAAGGAGTATCTACTTCTAAGCTATTGCAGAGCGTATATTCAAGAGATGCTGGACTTTCTGAGAGGAAAGATAGTAACGAAAGCATTGTGGAAGGCATTGGCATCATCCTCCTAACATGGATATTCGCTGTAACAGGACTCTTGGAGTACAGCAGCAATGCTTGATTACAGCCTGCAGAGGGGATATGACCCTTCGCCTAGAGTCCCCTTCGATTGCTTGCCTTAGGCCCCTGACGAATTCGTTTGTTAACGGAGTAAGTTGTCAAACCCCGGTACCGTCGTCTCCTATCCCTGCGTCCAGAACCAAGGATCAGGAGGTCCCGGTGATCCCTTTGATTCGCTACAAAACATGGCCTACATGCATTTTCTGAACTTTTTTCTCCATCCATTGAATGAGTTTGTTTCTTTCCTTGTAAGCCACGCGGGCATCACGGGTGTATGTAAAATAAATAAATAGAATAAACAAATAATAGATAAGTCAACTAATAAATAAAACAAAATAAATACAAAACAAACAATGATGTCATTCATATCCGCAGTCTGCTGCTCGCTCTCTTCCTGCAACTCTCAAAGACGAAATTTGAATCAGTTGAGTTCATCGTCGTGTGTTGTAAAGATAGTCCTGTCCAATCAGGCTGGGTGATTTCACCCTAGTTGAGAAACTGACTTCCATTTACAATTCCCATAATTGCGGCAAAAGTTTTGTTTAGAATTTGGGAATCTGTGGCTTTTATCCTGATTGATTCCACCATAAAAAGAAGTTTAGCGAAATGTTTAGACAACCTCCAAATAGCAACCAAATCCAATTGTATCTTTTTTGTATATAATACAAACCGTAAATCGAAAGTCGGCGCCTTTGGGTAATTAATACTCGTACACAGCTGGACATTGGTCAGATTGAGTTACCCTTTAATTTGTAGCCGGATGTTGTTTGACTCTCTGAACATTACCAGTAAACGAATGTAAGTCAAAGAAATGCTCGAAAATATCAAGATTTTGTTTTCGATCGTATTTGGGATGCCGTTCCGAACATTGTCAATGTCAGTGAGATTTAGTAGTGCTATGAGGAGCAGCACCTTGTCCCTGTGGCTACTTTGTAAGAACCATATCCTCCCTGTATAGAACTTTCCTCTCCCCAGGTTCCAGGTATTTTGAGACGGAGAAGTAGAATTTTTCATTATTCACATAGATCTATTTTAACGAGTCCAAGTATGCTTTGATTTCTTTCGTCAGCCATTCGATTGCTCGTTGGATTCCTGCTCCATTCAGTGCACACGTGGCGTGGATATTCCATTTATGACCTCTGATAAGATCGAGACCTGAAATTTCAAATTTTTCTGAGCTTCCCTTCTAGCATACAAAAAGGGCAACAGTGCACGTGAGTGTGGGAAAATTCACCCATCAGAAAAGCAAAAAATGCTCGGAAGGATGTGATGAGTCAAATGTTATGAACATTTCACGTGCATACTCTTTCTATGGTGGTAAATGATTAATTTTGTGATGTCATATCAGTGAAAAACTGTCACGAGCGACCCACTGAACCATCTCGAATTTGTAGATTCTCTCGGGTAGCAGTACTAGATAATATGTAGATGTCCCTCGCTAGGTAGCAAGTACTAGATAAATAGTCCCCAGAACTTTGATTTAGGCGATGGGGTAGTATTCTACACGGGATTCATTGCACGGGGACGCCTATGATAATGGTAATTCCCATGAGCGTACCTCAAAGCAGTTAGATAATTAATAGTTGGATGAGTAACTTTCCTCCGGTGACCGTTTCCCCGAACTTCCAGGGGTTGGTAAGACTTCGATGATTCGTCTACGACAACGGGCGAAACGGATCATCTGTGCTGTGGAGTGTATGCATTTCCCCAATATTTGTTTTCTCTTTGTTTCTAATTGGAACCCCTCCTGAGAACATTTATAATTCCCAACTTTAAAAACGAAAATTTAAATTCCCATAACTTGGCTGAATTATGGTACCCTTATGAAACAGTTGAGAATTCCAGTATTGTTTCCACGACAGGGCCACTCACTTATTTATGGATAGGCCACACATTCGACTCTCATGCATAGCTATCAATGGCAATGGATCCTGTATAGAATCCCACCCGGTCAGAATCCGTCCAAGATTCAGCTCACGAGAGTGGTTTGTCTCGGAGGATTCAAAGGCAAAGCCTCGACCACAGATTGCTGGGAACGGAACCCACATAGAACGAAAAAGCGGCTAGTATCTTAACTAGCAGAGAAAAGCAGAAGCCCAAAAAAAAAAAAACAAGAAAATGCCTTAATAGCGATTCCATATCGATCCCAACTTGTACAAAAGATATCAGCTCATCGTATCACCTCACTCTCACCATTCGGAATGGAGAGAGATAGCATAGTGGCTACTAGCTAGTAGCTAGCAGCCGGTGGGGGTCGGCATGGGCCTAAGGGGCGCCCATGGGCCTAATTGGTTAGCTTAAAGCGGAATTCTTGCCGATTTTCACTTTCTAAAGGTAGCGCAGCCTCAGCAATCTCCTCCAATCGGTCTGCACATGTGAAAGGTCAGTAGCCCTATTTTATCGCGCGAAAGTGCCTTTCCACAGCCATGGACTAGTAGTCGACTGCCTTCTTCAGGCCGCTGTTTGGAAAAGTATACTGGAATGCTCCGGAGCCGCGCGCCAGAATTATTCGACCCAATCAAGAAAAAAAATCTGAATTTCTGGAGCCATTTCACCCCCTTCCCTTGGTTGCCATTCCACCCGCCTTCGCTTGATAGCTGGAATTTCGATTTGTTCATTTTCAAAAAGACAAATGCTATTCCAGCGCTTATTTCGTAGAAGTTTTCGACCCGCACTCCTCAATATTTCTGATTTATTTGGTTTTTCATCTTATCAAGAAAATTTCATTTCTAACACCATTACCTAGGCTGGTTGAGATTTCCGCTGCAGTCATTGCATCTTTGGCATCCATTTTGTTCGCGAGCACTAGGATAGGAATCTGAATTCCACCTTTTCAAATGATCCAGCCCTTTATGGTTCTACCTCGAACTCACCGGTCGTCCAGTGATGTCCTTATGATCCAGAATCATCCATAACTCATCTCGTGCCACCGCGACCCGTAACCGATCGGCGCTATCCACCACGAAAATCACCGCTTGCGCGTTCAAGTAGTACGTCTCCCAAAGGTTACGATATTTTCCTGAACATGAGAGGTGTTGATCGACAGTTCCTCATGGCAAGCAACATGAGCAGTAGAGCGGTTGATGATATACCATCACCCAAAGGCGCGACGACGCCATTCGTGATTCCCGCGGCGAACAGTTTATGGTCACCGCAGAGGTACAGTTTTATGGCCATGCAAGGCCGGCAGGCAGGATCGCTGGCGGCGAATGCTTGGGAAGTTTCAAGAGAGTAGAAAAGAAGAGGAGAGGAGAGTATAGATACAGATGAACAGAGTGGGGAGGAAAAACACAGGGATGAGGTGAGATTGGGGAATAAGCTTATTGTGGGTCTCACATCAATAGCCTGAGAATCTCCTGAAATCTTGAGCACACCGGCTACTTCAATAAACTATCCTTACCAAAATCGCTATTGAAACAACGTGCTCAACCGTAAAGGACCTAATTCATATCTTCATCCTGATTAGAAGGAAAAAGGATTAAATGAAAGGAATACAAGTACAGCAGCACTAAGCAATCGTATCCCGTTGGTAATGGAAAATAGGAATGGGTGGAATTTATCCGTTTTGTAACGTACCTA